TATATAATTTTATTAATTTATTTTTTCCCCCCCCCCCCCTTTAACCCACCAAACTATGATCTCGTGACAGAAGACTAGCAGAAGCAAACAGAAAAATCTATTAAGTTTGGTCAGTACAAGCATATAAGAAATCTACTAATCCATCATAGACATTCAATAACTTCTCTTACAGACAAGATCACTTACAACATTCATATCATTATTACATAATATATTTTTTGATTAATACATAGTCACTTCTTGTGCATCACAATATAGGAGGCCCCCGACTTGTGACCGCCAGAGTTCCGACCCCCCGCACTTACAACCATTTTTGTAAGTGCAGAAGGGGCTGGAAACCCCCGACTTACATCCTCAGCCCACATTTACGACGGTGCGCCGTGCCTATCGTAAATGCGGGTTCAAGTTACGATGACCCCGACTTGGAACCAATTGCGTCACAAGTCGGGGGCCTCCTGTATTTTTTTCAGTGATGTGTAAACACATAATCACTGTTAATAACATTTCCAGATGATGTATGTCAGAGCGGTAAATAATGAGGAGAAAAGGGAAGGCATATGGAGAGGACTGGATTATATGGGGCCCTTTCAAAACAAATGCATTTTAATACAGCCAAATACAAGGCAGTACATAAAGGAATAAAGAATGCACGCGAGTCCTTCAGACAGTAAATTGTATCCGGGAAAGCTGTGACTCTGAAATAAAATGTAAGAGTCACAGTGGACAAATAATTTAACATGAGTTCCCAGTGTGATGACATGCCAAACCAGATTAATATGATCCTTATACATGTAAACAGGGGATTTTGCCTTTGTATATGGCCTTGGCAAGACTGCTTTTGGAACACTCGCTTTGATGCCACATTTTTAAAAGGGCACCACAAAACTGAAAACAGTACAGGAAAGAGTCATAAAAATTATCTGAGGATTGGAATGCTTTACAGCAGTAACCAACAACCACTAGTATGGGATCTACTGATAGATCCTGGAGCCACAGGCAGGTGATCCTGATTGTTTTGGTCCAGAGGCTATCACGTGTCAGCACTTCAGCTGACCCTCCCCCCACTGCCATGATACTCCTGTCCTCTGCCTTGGAGCTGCCCCCTGGGAGCCTCCTGCTTTCTGTGCAGGGCGGAGGAGGCACAGAAAGAGGCCACTGATGTTAGGGTGTCACCGTCCCTATACTCATGAACCCAATTTTCACAGATGGGGGGACATGACAGGTCTCAGGATAGAGGTCTCTTGCTGGTAGCTGCTCCTATGTCTTGAAGAGGCAATGCAATTTTCTGTCTCTCACAAACACACTGTATGTCTGTAACTCACATAAACATATTTTGTCTTTCACACTCACCTCCCATCCAGCACATCCTTGTGTTGTTACTTCTTTTACATCTTTCAAAGTGTGTTATTTTAAGTTTCTGACTAGTCTATGCCTTTCTTAGTTTTCCTTTATCTGTTATGCATAAATTTAATTATTTGAGTAGTGAGTTCTAAAACTCCTAATCTGTTGCGGCTGGAGTAATTATCCTTAAATAGATATATATATTAAAATTATCATATCTTGTCATTCCCTCTAATTTTTTCCATCCATGTGCAGGAGTCTCCTGGAATTGGGTTCCATCTCCTGCAAGCAAATAGGCAGCAAATAGTCCAGCAACACAAGGGCTAAGGCAGATTCTGCCTCCCCCTGGCCTCCGCCTGTCCTGGCTCTGCACTGCTCCTGCAAGCAGCCCCTAAGGGAGGTGGGGCAGAGGATCCTCACATGCTGCCTTCTCCTGCAAGCACCAACCTTGCAATTCCATTGACCAGAAATGGGGAACCATGGCCAATGGGAGGGGTGCATGTGGATGGGGAGTGGGGGAGAGAGAGCATGCGGAGCCAACTGCCCCTCCCTCGCAGAAGCTACTGCTGAACATGTCGTCAAATTTCAGGAGTGGCACAGGGCCAGGGCAGGGATGAGTCTGCCTTTGGTAAATGGTGCCCAGCTGGAGCCCTTCCAGTATGCCAACCCCCTGCCCTGGCCAGAGCCCCTCCTCCATTCCAAGTGCTCTATCTCAGGCTCAGCCCAGAACCCCTTCCACACTCTGAATGCTTCAGACCAAGACAAAAGCCTGCACCCCTGGAACTCCAATCTCCTGTTTCAGCCTGGTGGAAACAAGTGAGGATGGGAAGGGGATGGGCAGGGGGATGGACTGAGCAAGAGGGACCTTGGAGAAGGGGCGGGGGGAAGGAGACATGGCAAAGTTTGAGGTAGATCCTGGATCTTGTGCTTAAAAAGGTAGAGACCGCTGCTTCACAGAAACAGACTGAATGAGCTCAATCTGTTCACCTTGTCACAAAGAAGATCAAGAGCAATGTTCCCTCTATTTGCTGCCCATGTGCAGAATAAATGTTGTTCTATGCACCAAGGCATGTGTGAATGTGCACCAACAGTAGAAACACAAGCTGTCAGCTGTGGGTGCTCTGCTAATCAGCTAGGCAGCATCTGAATCTCTTCCGGGTGGCCACTCAAGCATTCACCTTACAGAGAACACTGATCAAGAGGTGACTTGATCACTGTGCACAAGTACCTTATGGGGGTGAAAAATACTCTTTAATCTAGCACAGAAAACCGTAACAAAAGCCAAAGACTGGAAGTTAAAGCCAGACAAATTCAAATGAGAAATAAGGCAATGATGGTGATTAACAGGAAATGGTGAATTCTCTAACTCTTGATGTCTTTAAATCAAAACTGAATGATGCCTTACTGGATTGCATTTTCCAGTCAAACTCAAGGTACTGAGCTCCATCAAAATTTAAAACTGAAATTCTAATGCCTATATTATTCGGGAGTTAAAATCAAATAGTCTAATGGTCTCTTCGGACCTTAAAACCAAATGCAACACAGGGAGCAACAGAACAGGTTTTCCCACAAACTATCAGACCAGTTATTCTTGATCCTTACCAATAGGTATGAGGGATGTAAAATCCAGATTAATCAGTTAACCAATTAAACATTAGGGTAATGTAATATTCAACCACTTAACTGACAAAGCGGGATCCTGGATCCAGCCTGGATAAAGCAGCCCCGAGCCCACGAGGCTCCTCCTTCCAACCCCAGCCACCAGCCCCGGAAGTGGGCTGGGGCCCAGCAAGGCTGGAGCTGCCCCCTTCCCTCAGCAGGCCACAAAACGGGGAAAGGGGAGGAGGAAGAGCTGCTCCCAGGTAACGGGAGAAAATCTTTTCAGAAGTAGACATGGAGTTAGCCAATTCATCCTGGTCTTCTCTTTTGAGGCAGCTACCATGTTTCAGGGCAAAAACATTATATGAATGGGTGCTACAGAAAACCTTTTGATAAACAAGCAAGTGCCAACTGGTGACAACTGCAAGAGTATTTTCTTTAGTGTGGACAGAGGTCCTCTAGGGCATGGATGAGGAACCTAAGACTTGGGGGCCAGATGCAGACCCTGCTTTGCTTGGATCTGGCCTCTGCTCTGGTACTAAAGCCCTCTCACCACCCACTCACAAGGCTTGAACACACAAAATCTAGTAGCTTGGGCCTTCCCTAGGCTCTGGTGTGGGAGGTGAATGTGGGGAATGTCTTTCTCCTTCTCAGTTGGGGGCTTTTTTTTTTTTTTTTGGCTTCTAACTTGATTTATTTTTCTATGGATCAGTGGCACCTGACCCAAAAAAGGTTCCCCATCCCTGCTCTAGAGTTTAGTCCGAAACAAAACATTTCATACAGACAACAAACTGCTAATATAGGTTCTTATTTTAAGAGTGCCTTAAAAACACTGAAGCCAATATGTAATCAATGCATCTATTTTTGTGCAATTTGTATGCTTGCATTAAGGCTGAGTAAACAATTACAAACTTGTCCCATAAAAAAGGATTTTTTTCTCTTGTAAAATTATAAATCCCTTAATATCAGAGGTCCCCAAAGTATCCCACCCAGCCCCCAGCCTCAGGCCATGGACCAAGGGCAAAGCCGGGAGTGGAACTCCAGTAAGCCACAGGCTTGGTTACAGGACCTCTCTGCAGACCACCTGAAGCTACAGCTCCGCTCCTGCCCTTATTTCCAGCCTCAGCTCCACTCCTGGCCTCAGACCCACCCCAGCTGTGCCCCCAGCCTCAGGCTCCTTGCCCACTGTCCACTTATCTCCCAGCCATATCCCCACTCCTGGCTCCAACACTGGGGGGAATGGCAGAGGAGGATTCAGACAGGAATAAGGGAGAGCACAGCTCTCAAACACTTGGGGACTGCTGCTTAATGTGGATCTGATTCAAAATTGTGCAGTTTTCCAACCAACCTACTTGCATTAGATTTAATAAATAAAACAATCTTGCACAGATAAAGTTGCAATACTAATGGCATCTTTAGTGTATTACCTTGATTTCTTCAGGTTTAGGGCTCCCTAATCCATCTTCAATCTCCATTTTAAATTCTGTGAGCTGTGTGGGAACCATGCTGACCATAGGACTTTCCATCATCCCCAATGCTGTCACAGTCTCTGAACTTATTCCATCTTTATAGTTCATCACTGGGGAAAAGGCAGGGTGGTGCTCCAAGGAAGGGGGTGTTGGGAACATCCTTTGCAAATCTGCCACAGCTAAGCAGCACAAAATAAACCATGGTTAACCATTAAAAATAAATTCTGCATAACTCTTAAATGAGAAACCATTAAGAGAAGGACTCTAACTCAGCACTGGCTTTTTGATTTGTAAAAACTAAGCAAATAGACTGCAAATCTTCCTACTGCACCAGTGGAAATCTAGACTAACACCACTGACATCATTTATACAGCCCATGGACACTTTTCAAGTTTACTGTTCTATTGAAATACATACATTTGAGGATGTTCAATATTCACATATGCTGTGATAATAGTAAGAGGAGGCTATTAACCTTTGGCAGTAACTTACATTCTTTGAGATGATCATCTTACAGAAGGTGCTGATGCGTCCCAGCACCGCAGACCAGAATCTTCATAGCAGTGCATGAGGGCTGCGTGTGCATGGCATGTGAGGTGTGTGGGCACCACTTGGTATGACCACTCACATGTGGCCACCCTTCCCTCCGTTCCTTCTCTATGTGGAGCCTGGCTTAATAGAGAAAATGGGTCTGAAGTAGAGGGAAGAAAGGGAGGATATCAGAGCACCCCCAGGAACACTCATCTTAAATAACGTCAGTGACTGCCAAAGGTGACTAAGCTCCTCTTCCTTGAGAGAGACGTCCCTTGGAGTGCTCCACAGGAGGTGACTGCAAAGCAATATGTTCTATGGAGGTGGGGACTTTGGATCAGGCAGGTAAGCCATTGTCAGGATCACTTTCACCACCCTGGTGGAGTAAGGAGGGCCATCGGACAGTGCATAATGTTTAGCAAAGGTTCGGTCTTATGTCCATGTAGCAGCAGCACATATGTCTTCAGTAGGGACCCTGTGTTGGTAAGCAACAGATGTGGCTACTGCCCTGGTGGAATTGGCATGAATTGAGGTACATGGTGGTAAGTGATTCAGGTGATTAACCCATTCTGATGCAGTCTGAGATCCAGTGGGACAGTCTATGGGATGATATCTGGTGTCCCTTGCTGTGTACTGCTATGGAGATTAAGAGTTTTGGGGACATCCTTGCAGGGTAAATTGAGGCAGTCCATGGTATTTTGCTGAGAACTGACAACTCAAATCATTAGGCCAGCCCTGGAAAGCACCCAAACAGCTGTTAACTTGTTAACTTGACCCTGGTTCCCCTGGCAACTACATTCCAAAAGGGCCTCACTTTGATAAGGCCGGTACCAAAAAACCGCACGGGATTGTTTTTCATTGTCTGCTTTGTTCCTAGAAAATAAGCTTGGATCCCAAAGATCACGCCAAGGCAATACCACCCCCGCAGGAGACGCATTATATTTCCGGCTGACAAAATGACCATCAATATGCCTTTGTTTATGTTGGCTTATTTAGCTTGTTAGGAATAACTATATGTATTAGTGATAACATGTTTAATTGGCAATTGGCGGAGATACTGTGTAACTGTCGTAAACCATTGGCATATGTGCATATCTCACTTCCACTGCTAGACCTATCAAATCACTTCTCCGTCCATCTGCTACCTATATAATCTAATGTATGTTTTGGTTAAGTTAGTGCTCACTGGGTTAACCCCTAATGAGTACTCCACCAGCTATGTGAACCAATAAATCCTCTGCTTGTTTTCACCTGCACCCAGTGTGTCCAAGAATTATTCCCTACAATCCTGAAGGGCCTCATTCTATGGAGGTAGAAGAAAAGTGCCCTATGTACATCGCAGATTTGCATTTGTGCTTCAAAGGTATTGGCATGAGGTTTGGGGATGAATACAGGTAAGGGGTAGTTAGACTGATGTGGAACATGGAGCATACCTTGTGTAGAAATTTGGAATGGGTCCATAGAGATACCCTATCCTTAAAGAAGTGTATGGCGGATCTGCCATTAAGGCAGCCTCTCTCCTACTTGACGGGCTGATGTCATCACCATGTGAAGAAGTGAGCACGTAGCCATAGGTTCAAATGGAGATTTTGTGAGCGTTTAGGATCCCATGGTGTCTGTGGGGTAGCTATGTTAGGGTATAATATGTATAGGCCTTTTAGGAAGTGTTTGGTCATAGGCTGTACAAAGACCATGGTTTCATCAATCCTCATATGGAATGTTGCGATGGCTGCTAAGTGTACCTTAACTGAGCTGATGGAGAGATGGGATTGTTTAAGGTGCAGTAAGTAGTCCAGTATTGCAGGTAGTGGGTCTGTCTCCGGAGTCTGTTGTGGGGAGTAGTCCAGTGAATGAAATGAGACCATTTTTCCCTGTATGTCTTGCATGTTGAAGGGGCTCTGCTGTGGAGGAGCACATTTTATACCTAAGCTGGGCATTGTAGCTCTAGCCCTGAGAACCCTCCAGGTACCAAGCTTTCAGGCACAGTGTTAGAAAATATAGGAGCAGAACTTGGGTTCCTGGCTGGAATAGGATCCCCAGATTCCGTGGGAGCAGGATTGGGTGTGTGACGGGGCAGCCTCGCCCTGCACTCAAGCCCAGGGAAACCACCTGGTGCCGGGGGCGGAAAGAGCCCCACCCCCACAGCCCTACTGGGCATGCTCCGAGGGGAGCAGAGAGATAAAAGGCTGCTGGCCTGCTCAGAAAGGGCAGACTGCGACCCGAGCTGGAGCTAGCAACCACCGGCCAGAGAGGGAGTCGCCAAAAGAGCTGAGCGTGCTGCTGCCGGGCCTCAGCTGGGTTCGGCCCCAACGCCGGAGCCGCCGACCGACCCCCAGTGACCCGAGCACCGGACCGGACTCTGCCAACTCTGAGGCTGCCAGGGGAAGTACCACTACAGCCAGTCGACTGACGCCAACAGGTGGGACCGCGGCAGGCCGAAAGCCGGGGGTAGGAAGTGACCCAGGGCAGGGAGCTGTAGAAGCCTCTGAGGGCTCGGTGCGTTGCGGGGAGGAGCTCCCGCCGAGCCAGTGGTGGGAACCACCCGCCACTACTAGGGTCCTGGGTCGGGGCCCAGTGAAGAGGGAGGGCCCGGGCCCCCCTACCCCTGCTGCCCGAGACCCTGGCAAGTGGGGACTGGGGTAACAGGCACTGAACTGTGGACTAGGCCTCTGGGCCTGTAAACTGTGGACTAGGCCGGGAGGCCGTATTTCCCCTAGTACAGGGGCACTAAACTGTGGACTAGGTCGGGAGGCTGTATTTCCCCTAAAAAGGGGCATCACGCTTTGGGCCGAGGCCCCAGTTGGTTGGATGATGCCTCGGAGGGGGGTGGTAACCCCCGTCAAGGGGGGGGCCCCCCCGACAGGGTGACATAGGGCCATTCTGCTCAGGAAGGGAAACCACAATTGCTGAGACCAGCAAGGGACTATGAAGATGATCCTTGCCCTATTCCCTCCATATTTTGATAATTGTTCTGCTGAGGAGGGGAATTTGAGGGAATACATAGAGTAGGTGATGATCCCACTTGAGGATGAGGACATCTCCCAGGGAGTCTTTTCCCATTCCTGTCCTGCAATGATACAGGGGGTACTTTTTGTTTGCCCTGGTGGTGAAGAGGTCTACCTGGAAATATCCCCATTCTGAAAGGACTGAATAATAGATCTCCCATTTGTGGTCCTGTGGTAAAGCTCTGCTTAGCGAATCAGTGATGGTGTTTAGGGCACCAGGGAAGTGGCATGCACTTACAGAGACAAAGTTGATTAGGCACCAGTTCCACAGGGCGATAGCGTCCATGCATAAGGCATGGTATCATGCCCCACCTTGTCTGTTTATATAAAACATGCAGGCATTGTTGTTGATATATATTCTGACATGTCTTCCGGAGATGTGAGGTAGTAAGTGTTGACATGTGAGCCATACAGCCTGAGCTCGAGGACATTAATATGTAGGGTCTTTGTTGGAGTCCATAGGCCCTAGATCATGGAATCTTTCACATGTTCACTCCAGCTTGTAAGGGAGGCATTCACTGAGATGACAACCATGGGTTCTGGGGTTTGGAAAGGTATGCCTTTACATAAGTTCTCTGGCCTCGCCCACCATAATATTCCACTATTTACTGTGTGGGGAATGAACAGGGTTTTGGTTAGAGGGTGTAGGTTTGGCTTATAGATTGATCTGAGCCATTCCTGAAGGCATGTCATGAAGAAAAGAGATGTGCTTCGGGACCACAGGATTGCAGGATGCCATATGGTCTAAAAGTTGGAGACAGTCATGGGCTGTGATGTGTGGCATTAATACAGCACTCGGACTAGCTTGCAAATCTTTAAGACTATGTCAGGAGGTAGGGAAGCTATGGCTGAAGTGGAGTTGAGCTATGCTCCGATGAACTGGATGGATTGGATTGGTGTCAGTATTGATTTCTTCTCATTCAACAGTAGTCCCAAAGATTGGAAGCACTGTTGTATGAGTTAGGTGCAATGATGGGAGTCATCCTCTCTTCTTGCCCTGATAAGGCAGTCATTGAAGTAAGGGAATATAAAGATGTCCTGTTTTCTGAGTATCAGAGGGGTAGCTGTGTTAATCTGAATCTGCAAAAGCGATGAAGAGTCCTATGGCACCTTATAAACTAACAGATTGATTAGAGCTTAAGCTTTCATGGGCAAAGACCCACTTTCTTAGATACATATTTTCTGAGGTGGGCCATAACCACTGCCAGCAACTTGGAAAAAACCCTTGGTGCAGTGGAAAGTCCAAAGGCAGAACCGTGTATTGGTAACATTGCATACCATTGTTGGGGTTGGTGCATGACAGGCTCATCCAGCAGGGAAGGTAAATGTGTGTCTAAAGATTTATCCAGATGCAAGTCACGGGATTGTGATTCATTGGTTTCCTGTTGCTTTCTCTGCCATATGGGGGTTAGGGGTAGAGGAGAAAGTGCATGTTGAGTATGTTTCTTTTTTGACAGTCTCTTTTTGTAGTCATGAGCCCATAGGCTGCAATATTGCCACTGCACTGGGTAAGGCATGCATGATGGCATACACAGGTATGGAGCTTATGGGGAGCATGCTTGTGGTGACGGGTTGGCATGAGACAAAGGTTCCAATATCTCGGTGTCAGGTGATAATTGGGATGAGAATGACCCCTGTTCATCTTCGTCATCACTAGATAATAAAGTAGGCGATGAGATATGTTTTGGTATCACTGAGAAAGCTAACTTGCCTGTAGTGAGGAACAAAGAGTTAAAAGTCAATGATACTGCAAAGTCTCTCTGATATAGGTAACTGGGCATGGGAGTGGACAGGACCGTGGCTGTTGGTCGGTACTATACTCGGTACTGGATCTTGTGCTGTTGCTGCCATTGCCAGTGTGGTCGAGGTCGGTGCGGCACCTTGAGATGGTAGGATGGTGCCGATGGACTGCGCCGTCAGTTGTTGTGGTGCCATGTTGACTGTTCTCAGTACCTCAAGTTCAGGGGCTGCATTGGTAGGCTCCGTATTAGGTACCGAGACTTGTGAACCTCTGTACGTGCCCTATTCATGGCGTGTGTAGAAAAGGTCCAGTTGGCACTGGAAGTGCCCAGGGCATCGTACGTGCTGAGGCGCGACAGTTTCTCAACCTTGTGCATTAATTTTTTAGTTGTGTGCCACTTGATCCATCATGAGATAAAGACAAGGCACGGCTCTTTGGGGATTTTTACCCTTAGCGATTTTAGTCTTGGCAATCCCTATGTGTCTTTTTGAGCATAGCCATTTTCAAACGGAGGTCCCTATCTCCCTGTTTCGCTCAGTGCTGACAGTCCTGTTGGACTGTCCTATATTTTCCTAGGTATTTTACACCTTTAGTATGTCTATCGGAAATGGGCAGTGCCTCATTGCTGGCTGAACAGCGCTTGTAGCCCGGTGACCCTGGCATCTCGCAGTAGACAGTAACCAGTGGGAGAGCAACTTGGAGTAAATAAACAGAGGTTTCCGTATTCTTTTGGGGGCTCCTCCGGTGGCACAGCGGATAAGGTATCTCCCCCTTTGGAACCACAGGTCAAGGGTTCAAGCCCCACCTTTCACCAACGTGGACCTGAACCCTTGGGACGTAGGACGGCAGCAGCGGGGGGCACAATGTAGGGAGGTTGCAGGGCTCCTCCAGTGGTGCAGTGGATAAGGTACCAGCCACAGGTCGTGGATTCAAGCCCGGCCCTGGCAGCAGTTGCCCCAGGGGTTTAGCTGGCTCCCCCATTAGGAAGGCCAGATAAGGAACACCCTGAAGGTAGGAAGGTGGGGTGGGTTCTAGAGTGGCCTAGGGGCTAGGGCATTGTCCTGGGGACCCCAGGGTTGCGGGTTCAATCTCTGCTCACCTAGGAGCACCTGGAGAAAACATAAACAACTAGAGAGAAGAACCGTGATCATTAATTAAACTACTTATCTATTATGCTAATGAGGAACAGAGAGCACTACTGAGGTCCATCTTGAGCCAGGGAGGGCACATGGGCTTGGTTGTGCCAAGCAGCACCTGTGCTTCTCATATGCCACACATGTGCGGCTCCCACACACTGCTATGAAGAATCTGATCTGTGGTGCTGGGATGTACCAACACCTCCTATGGAGCACCCCTAAGGACATCTCTCAAAGATGAAAGAAAAAATTTTTAAAGAAAAATATTAGGGATTTGACCATAATTACTGTTGTTAATTAAATAGATACTTTTTTGAATTTCATGACAAAAAAATCCTAAAGTCAAAAGTGGCTAAACTTCTGATGAGGTGTGTACTGCCCTGATTAACAACCCTATGTAAACCCAGTCTGGTTTATGTTGTCATACTGTCATGAAAACAGACCTCAGACCACTAATGATCTCTTGAAACATACCAAGTAGAAATTCTGCCTTAAGGCATCTAAAAAAATAACAAGCAAGTCCCAGAGGATACGGCAATATACACTTTGTACCCCAGCCACTAACACAGGGGAAAAAATCACATAATTTATTTAGAGATAATTAAATCCCTAACACACCAAAATAATTCGTCCTATATTTTTCATTAATTTTAATAAGAAAAAATACTGAAATGTTTAATAAAATGAAAGATATTTTATAAACCCAAACAGAAATGGCTGTAAATATTATATTTTTCCCTGTTACCTTCTTTCCATTTCCTGCTATAGTGGACTTATTTTTCATAAAATTCGGAATATACTGGTTTTTTAAATTTTGAAGTAGCTTAGGTATCCTTTTGACATAATGCTGCAATCTGATGAATTCCTTATTAAAATAACGAGAACATATGAGAACACATTTTTGTATATCACCTTCCCCCACAAGAAACCCATTTCCTGAACCAGTGTTTCTGACAGACAAAATAACTGATTTCATTTTCATGCCTTATTCTGTCCAGTAAAACACTACAAATCTCTAGTCCTACTTGATGCAATATCAGCTTCAAATCTGTACCCTGCAGCTATTGTACCTTTTGTGCAATCAAAGATGATGGTGATGTTTGATTTAACAATGCTACTAAGTAGCAAAATCTTTCCATAGGGTTGATTTGGATCAGCTGATCACTTTGCTTTTCAAATCATGGAGGATAAGAACTTTAGCACTGGGAGACCAGTGGCACTAGTGTGACATTTAGTCAGCATGGTATGCCATGCTGCATCAGGCATTTCAGTTCCTCACAGACGCTGTCATGCTTCACTAGCTAGTGTGACAGGGCGGCAGAGGGAGGATTAAGAGGTGAAAACAAAAGGGATACAGTGCATCCATTTAACCCATTCCATATTGCTTTGAATTGTCATTTTCTTATGTCTTTTAGTTCCACTTTGCAAAATTCTGCATTGTAGATTCACTAACAACATTCAAAATGTTTAATTAAAAAGAAAAACTTCAGCAATTAGCTGGCTAGCATTATTCATTTTCATATGTGCAAGGCTTGAGAAAGCTTTGCTATTTTAGAAACCTATGGATCTACTAAAGCTGTCAAAAACCACTTTTTGCATACTTCATACAGCTACATTTGAGTAAATCAGTACTGCTTTTATAGATCCATAAAATTCTGTCTCATTCCTGTGACACTGGTTTTTCCCCTCAATTTGTTCTCATAACCAGCTGAAGTTAATGAGAAGGCATTAAAGAATGATTTGCAATGGAATTTGATTTCTTTTAAAGTAGCTGCACAGTCAGTCATACATTTTTTTATCTTTTTAGACAAATAATTTGTAGTTCACAATCTGTATTGTTAGTGTCCCATTGCCTGCACACACACAAACAAAAGAATAATTCAAAAGGGATGCCATCTACATGAATGAAGCACAAAAACATTTTTAGAGCTCACAGCAGTGAAAACTATAATTTCCTATAGTTTGCTGCTATAATCCTTATGAAAAAACTACTGTGATTTAAAGCACATTGTGATTTTAATGTCCATATTATAAATTCAATATATCAAGTGCCAATAATTAATTCCACTGCTTTCACATCGAGATCTTAAGAAGCAGTATGAAAGGTATATTGGCCTCAGTGGGATAAACTTGTTCTGTCTACTGGTGACCAGTCTATAGAAGAGCTCTGTATAAGCTCAAAAGCTTGTCTCTTTCACCAACAAGCACTGGTCCACTAAAAGGTATCACCTTGCCTCATATCCTGGGACCATAATTGAATAATATGGTAATAACGCAGCTACATAGAGTAGATATTAGATTGAATATACAGGGATGACTTCTAAATGAAGATAAATAACAATTTTCTTTGGCCCTTACAGCCAAAGGCTGAAATAGCAAATGAAAGACATCTCAGAGCAATTTTTGGAAATATTTAAAAATTTTGGTATGGGGCAATTCATTCCCCTTGTTTAATATTAGCCTGTGGTACCTACAGAAAATCTGAAGCATATTGGGTCTTAACCTAAACCATTATTATGAACATCTTATAGATAAAGGGGAGATGGTAGTTACAGGGAAACTTTAGCTGAAGAAAGATGTAATTACTCCTTGGTACATACTTGGTGGATAAGTTACTGCTGTTCTTCCATCCTTCCCTAGAGGGCGCTCTTCAGCTCCCACTGCAAGCATTTTTGATGACCGAAGTGCTGCTGATACAACCTAAAACCAGGATATTTACATTATATATTAAAAATAAGAATAAAAAATGAATTACTTATTATAAACATTCAGAAAACCATCTAGTCTTAATCTATATCTATATATTAGCATATGTTTGCCGTCTGTGAGTCAATTTGCTCTAGAAGTCTTATGTTCTTACGTTCTTATGTAAGTCCTCCTAAGAGGCAGGACCACCAAATTTAGAACGCAGCTTCCTCGTCTCCTAATTTAAAGTCAGCAGAACTGGAAGCCCTGAGAAAAGGACTGTTTTTATAACATGCAAAGGGAGGGGCTGCTGTTTGAAGGTATGAGCTATGAGAGTGGCCAATGGGAGCAGGCGCCCACAGGTGAGAGCTATCCTGCAGTGTCCACTGGAGGCAGCTGTACCATCAAGGGAGTGGCCAGCAGGGCTGGGGCTCTGCCATTTCTCCTGCCAGCCCCTCTTGCCTGCCAGTCCACCAGGTAAGTAGCCCAAATCCTTTCCCCCCTCAGGCCCTTGGCCGCAGTGCTGGAGGGAGGAAAGAAAAAAAATCCTGGCGGCTGGAGTGAGATCTTGGGGGGGAGAAAATGCCCCTGGGGACCAGGAAGGGGATTGCAGATAGAGAAAAGACCTCTAGCAGCTGGAGGGAGGTTGAGCAAGGGGGAAGAAAAGGCCTGTGCCGGATGGCACCCCTCACACTAAGCCCCTCATCATTCTTGCATTTCAGCTTTCTGAACCCCCTCATCACATCCCCAAGGCCCTGCTCTGACTCCTTTATCACCCACACGCTAGCCTCCTTGCCCGAAGGACTGGGGCAATGCGGAGGGAGTATGTCTGCTAGTAAGACCTTAATTAAGGTTTTTTATTGTCTTTTTCAACTGCCTACTTATTTTTTCTGCAATTTGACTTTATTTAACTCTTTCTTTCAACTTTAGTAGATAGCACTAAGTACCTTTAACGGATACTAAATATACAATTGTCACTCAACTTGAAATTAGCAAAGCTATTCTATTTGTATCCATATTTGGATTACTATAAAGGAAAATATCAACAAAGCACTGGGAAGGCAGTCCTCTAGTTAACTTGTGGCTGCCTTTGTTGCAGAATAGCACAGAACACTATGCATTCAACAGTGACAACTATATAACATTGCCCAAAATATGGTAATATTAAGGCAGGTAAATTGTTACATCTACATCACCCAACAGTTTAACTTTAAGGAAGATGGCATAAACTCTGATTTGTGTTTAACAGCATAACTTTCTATAACTGATTTGCTTATCAGCTATTCTGATATATAAAGGGTGTTGAACCAATGTAATCTATAACACAAGCGCAAAATAAATGCAATTCAGCACTCATTAAAATTAACCTCATGTAGCAAACTCCTGTAGAAACGTAGCAGAGACCAACCAAAATAAACAAAAAGGACTCATTCTGTAGCTTTTCATATCCAACTAGGCTGGAAACAAAGCTTTAAATATTTGAGGAAGCAGATGCTTTAATTTCAAAAGTTAGCAGCAGTCTTCAAAAGCTCTGCAATTTTATCTTTGCATAGCACATAGTTGCATCTCTATAAGCAATGCTTCTGGAAATGCCAATGTAGCTTGCCAGAAAAGGCATGCCAACAGCCAGGGAAGAGAAATAATTTTTATATGCATCCTCAAATATGTTGTTCATGTGTGAAGTAAAAAGATGACATGAGAAAAGGAGATGGTAAATAATTCTGAAGGTCTTTTCAAATAGCACAAAAGAGAGAATGTGCCTTTCAAATTACCTAATTTACCTCTAGTCACTTCAGGGTCAGCTTATGTTTCATTATAACCGGATTTGATTAAAGCAGTAATGGGTGCTCATTCTAAATTCTGCCTTTTTTGAAATCTCAACTTTCCCTTTTCTTTCACCTATTATAAGAATATAATGTGCATGGTGGACTTACTCTTCTTATAACCACTTGTATACAAAGAATGGGAAAATCTTGTTTTAAGGAACTATGGAAATATCCTCTGCTGGTATCTAAAAGGAAACCCAGATATCTCTCTTCAAACTCACAAATACAAACCTTTAATGCAAGACTAAAGAGTCTCCTAAACTAGATAAAAAAAATTAAGTCCAACTACAGTATTTTACTTGAAATCATTTTTTGTTTTGTAATCTGTCTCTGTAAAGATTGTGACAGATTGCAGAAAGTATCTTCTCAAGCAAAATACTAAATTTGTGCTACAGCAGAATTTCCGAGCATTATAGAGACAGCCCATTACGCCACTGTGAGCAGCCACAAATCATGACACATATTGGTGAGGAATACAAAACAACTCAATTTCTTGGAAGTCTTGACACCTTCGACATCACTGATAATACTGCTGTGGGTTGGCTTGACCAAATGGTATATGGAAAAACAGAATACCATGACTGCAAGCAGCCTTTTCCCCCAACAACACATGGACCTCATCTGTGATTCTTTCACTTTGACAAAATTTGCTGTACCTGTGTGATCCTCCCACAAGTCCCTGAATTTCATGCCTTGTTTCCCCTTCCCAGTGGAGATCTTTAAACAGCTTTTCCAGTTGCTCTCACATCTACCTGTTACTAAATGTAGATCTGTCTATCAGTCTTCTCTCTCACACCCCTATGTAATGATGGCTCCCTCCCTGGCTTCTAACACTCCTTAGTTGCTGGAGTCATGTAAAAAAGCTATTCAGTGCAATTTGCACAGACTTACGCCAAGTTCATCTTCATCAGAATTATCGAAGATATTATCTAAATCATGAAGTGATGGAGCCAGATCTGTCACCTGTGTGAGGCTGCTAGAGCCAAGTCGGCCTGCAGCACAATCCTGCTGAGTATCTATGGAAAACAGTGGAAACAAAGTCTTAAGAAATAAAACACAAGCCCACTCTCTTTGTTATCACTCATCATTTCAAGAATGGGCAAAAATCACTACAAACCAGTTCTCACATTTCAAAATTTACTCTAGAAATAGCTTTCTAGTGTTTCAATTCAAATTTGAGATGAAAAATTGAGATCAACTATAAAATAATAAAATTAGATGCTAATTAATTTTACTAAACGCCAAAATGCTTGCTGTTATTGTAAAATAAACAGATACAAATACTAAATATGAAATTATATTAATTCTTTAGTCGGTTTTTATTCTTTTGTTTGTCTCATAATAGATAATTAAGTAGGTTTTCATGTTATATGAACACTTTCAGAATATAATTTTGCTTTGTCAAGTAAAAAGATGCTTTTCTTTTTATCACACTGATCATACAAGTTTGAACTCACCAGCTTTTGGAGCAGAACTGAAAATAGACATGGCATCTTTCCCATCAGGCACTGGTGTGGAATGACTTGCTGTGGGGATCTCCTTTGTACCTAATCCATCTTCTGACTGTACATAAAGAATTTAGTCACATAGAAAATGTTATCATTTAAATGCAAAAAGAGTGTGGAATACACAGGCGAAAGTAAAAATTAGAAAGAATGGATGAAATGTGAGACTTCCAAGTCCACTGTTGCTTTCAATTTTAAAATCAGCCCAGCAGCAGCAAACGTCCCAAAAAACCTTACTCATATCTAATACAAACTAGTTAGAATGCTCAGATTAGGGATGTTAACCAATCAGATTAACAAATTACCATTTAATTGTTTTTCGTACATTAATTCAAAATCTTACTCCTCACAATAAACTTCAAAAATGTCAATATGATGTTATTAGTTTTTACTTTTTGCAAAACTTATTTTGTTCAGTTTGGCGGAGAGAAGTTCTCTGAAATTTAAACCTGTGCTCCTGAAGAAGCAGGACCGTGTCAGGTTAGTTTCTCACAGACATCCTGTACAAAGACTTCTGAGGTCTTTGTCCATAACTGGACTTGTTTATATACTTTTAATGTACACTGTATCTAATATATACTTTTAACTACACTAAAATGCCATTGGTAGGGTTACAATTAAATGTACTAGGGTAAATCCTCTGAAAACTTCCATACAATTCTTGACTTTAATTATGAGGCAAAAGGAACTTGTTTTTGATGATCCTAGTGCCAATGGTCAAATCACAAACCCATTTTGCATAATTTGATATGGGGGTCCAAGAACTGGAACAGCAGGCATTTAAACCAAAAAAAAAAAAAAAAAAAAAAAAAAAGTTTTCCCCCAATTGTTTTTTTATTTTTTATATTACTTATCCTTACTCTATCAGGTCTTCATCTTGATGAGCACAAAAAAAAATCTCTTTAAAGGGAGAAAAAAAAAGTGTGGATATTCATCATTTATTTTACATATAAAGAATAACATTAAATGACATTCCTTCATCTACAAAGATATTCCAATCTACATATTTATTTGAGTAGCCAAAATAGATAAGCAGACAGCCTAATTTGTTGAGAACATAAAACTCTACAGGGGAGGAATTACCTAAAAAAACCCACATTATAAAAGTGAACTGCCAGACAACGAAATAGCACCAGAGCAGTGGTTCCCAACCTTTTTTATACTGAGGACAGGCAAACTCATTCAAAACCTGTTAGCAGACTGATACAAATATTTACATATTCCTTGTGGTAATTAATTTATTTGCATATTTGCATGCTCACTATGGTGATTGCAAAAGGTCACGTTATTTTAAATTGCAGCTGTACGCACACAATACATGTCATTGCAACCAAGATTGTGGCTGTAAGTCACTGCAACAGATGACAGAAATGTGGATAAAACAGCTGTATAAAGTTTCTATGTCTGAAGCAGAAATGATGGGCATGATTAGCCTCCCAGGTCTTTGTAACTCAAGATTATCTCCAATGAATATAGAGTGATGAGTGAAATCAGAGAGGAAGATTAGGGTTCAGGATAGCTGTGTTTTGTTTCGAGAGGCTCAAAGGGCCATTCTTTTAATTTATGGTGCCCTGTTCAATTACTGAGGCCACCTGCTGCCCCTCACCTCCCATGTGGCTTTTGCATTGTCTCAGGGCTTCCCCTCACCCATGCAGCTCCTTCTGGGGCTGGGGCAGCTGCTGCATGTGCAGCACTTGGGCCCAGCAGCTGGGGCAGCC